CTATTTTCAGTGCAGTAAACTAAAGAAGGTGGTTCTGGTAACAAATATAGGCAATCGCTCCATCGTGAACCACTGACAGTGTGGTATATAAGCGATTTTTGCATCAATCAACCGGTCGCAGTCAGCCGAGGTAGGTGGCCATCTCCAAATTGCCGCATTAACATTCGGTCGAAGACCGACAAATTTCTTTAACGTTGTAGCCGCTCTTCTGAAGACTGTATGGTGAAACGAACTTTATCAACTCACTATTGTTGAAGGCCTCCTGAAAGCACTCTATGCCGCAATGAGTTCGATCCGTGCGTACGGAGTCTCATTGAGGTCTACGATATTCTGATGGGAAATGATGATCCCAGATGGAAAATACCTTTTTCTCTGTACGCTTATCTTGAAGGCACGAAGAGATCCGTCAGGTATAACGTTACAATTGCCTTAATAGCCGGCCTACCCAGTTTCGTGATTTAAATTCAAATCTGAAGAGAGTGCAAAGTTTCAGAATTACCCATTACGTTATGTGATCCGTTGAATTCGTAGGAATAGCCAACTCTATGAAAATGGTAAGAAGCTTCCGAATCTCACGGGTCCTGTTGATCTTTTCAAACAAAAGTTTGCGTGACACTCATGTTTGAGGGAAAGTATAATCATTATGTGATCTTCTCATCCCATGGTTGGAAGAATCACAGTTACTAGAATGCTTCAATTTAAAAGGCGCCATTTCACTCGGCAAAATACTTACATCATCACAGTCACAATGAGCAGAAGCAAAGAGACAGTGACAGTATCATAAAATACATTATACTGGCATTTACCTCATTATGACTTGCTTATCGCCCCTGATGGCTGTGGCCGTTGTGCTTCCTAGTAACAGTGCTAATGATGTGCAAGAATTCGTTCTTCTGATAAAGTCTTAAACTTATGTGGATGTACCGACTAAAGCTTCAAAAGATTTCCATTAGCTGATTCCGTATATGATGAACATCGCTGAGTACAGTCTGTTTCTGCTGATACAATTCAGCATTGCATGCAGTTCTCAAGAATTTCAAATCCTTATCATAATACAATGAAATCAATGTGCATTTGGCGTAGATGTAATAGATTAACGCTGTAAAGTATTAAGTATCACAGTGATATAAGGCTAATGATAAAAGGGGCCGCTTGCATCTCTCCGTTAACTTTGACGCTGATGACGGACAGTGCCGGTGATGTCTAAAAATCGAGAATGCTATCAGTAGAGCATGGGGAGCAGTATCGAATGGCCCCGGATTCGAGTTCCGGTCGAGTCACTCCTTTTTCGTCCCTCCAAAGTTGACGAATGGAAAGAAGACAGGAGAATGCGTGTGATAATGATCCTCAGGCTGTAGACATAGCCTGAGAGGAAATTATGAACGATGCGGTCCTAGCTGCCTGTACGGAAATGGATATTTGCGCTACACCGTCAGATTTCTAAAAATGGCACCTAATCGTCAAATCGTAGGGTTTTCCGACATCCTAACCTGTAAAAACATCGGTAGCTAAATAAAATCCTTCCACGAATGTTGGAGCTTTCGACGATGAATTACACTTCTCGCATATACTTTTGGCGAGCAAACCTCATTACTCGATACATGATCGTACATTCTTTGTACATGTAATCGAACGGTCCTCGTCATCAGCTGTCCATGAGTTTAGAATAACCATAAATTTTGAAAACTCAAGCATGAAAGTGCAACTGGCGTAGTTACACGAAACTTTTCAATAAACATGTGCGCAAAACAACGAGAAGGATCAGTATTTGAGGGTCGTTAAATCCTCGTAGAGTGACTCATATTTTATGTAATTTATTCAGATGCTTCGACTGACTCAAAACTATTAATTAATCGTCGTCTCCACAGCCCTGGCCAATATTTTCCGCTCATTAGAAAGGAAACGCTTGATTAGAGAAAAATTGATCGATACATTCGTCCTATGACGTTGACAGTCCCATTGCCACGTAGCTACCATCGCATGTGACACGACAAATTCTACGGCAGAGAAAGAAACTTATGTGATACCGCTCAAGCCGTGAGTATGTCATCGAACTTAGATTATGTTGATAAAGTCAACAAGGTCGGTCAGCGCTACCCAAAGTAATTAACCCCTTTCATGTGTATACCTTGAAAGTTTTCACTGATACGGGATTATGAGTTGAGGGCTGTTTCTAGTAAGCTAAAAACGCTTCTAATTTAGTTTTTGCTTAATAATTTCATCAAACGTATGAAATTTATGAAGGTTCATCATTCGAGTGGGTAGTAGATCGTCAAGGCAGATTGTGTCCACTGAAAATCTGCCAAGTGAGATATATGCTGGACGTATCATAAACTTTAGCATGAGGCACCGCAGCGTCATGCCATCCCAAATTTCAACATGTCACCGTCATATCATGATATTTAATTCTTGTTAGTTGTTTTAAATCAGATTCTTACGATTGATCTGCTGATCAAGCAGATTAAAAATCGGTCAGTAAAATTGTCCATCTTCTTTTAAAGTTAAACAGCGAGTTAAACAAGGACCGAAAAAGTGCGGTTCCATATAAAGTACTATAATCGACATGAAAAATTATTCTTCAAAGGAAATTTTTTGATGAGGCTGAGCTAACGTTAGAACAGGACTGTCCAAATGCTCACTCACTCAATGCTTGTGAGCCGCTTACTCGTTAGGTCCGTATATCATAGTGGAGATCGTCTAAACATGCGATAAGGACGCCGAAGCAGCAAACCAAGAATCTTTGACAAAAGTCAGATTGATCGCATATATCACGAATCTTGCTCATTTCATCAGGCTTCTCTGCTTTGTGGGAGAGTGCAATTATTCAAGAACCTTTTAGAAACCGCTGTACAGCAATTCGAGTGGGAAGGGTCTAAAAGCGGGTGCGTCGATAAATCAGATGAACCGACGGATAGGTGGACGCCAATTGCTTAACTATTTATTTCCTCGCAAGGATTCCATGAAAGCTTGAGTCAACAAACACTGCATGTACGTAATGTCGTAATGTTCTAACCAGTTTATATGCTTTACTGATGTTCCTTCCATGATATTGCAAAGCGTTGTATAAATACCTGAGCCTAACCTGAAAACAGCGTTTGTTTCTAAAGCTAGTAGAACCGACTTGACTTCAGCCGTCAAGGTTGAGGACAAACCAGTAATATTTTCTACATATTTGAGGCACCGTGACCTCAACGCCTGGGTTCATCGATTATTCATCACTTAACAACTACTGCTGTACAGGTTCTTGATTTTACTTAAGCTGGAACCGAGCTGAAATGATCGGAATGAGCGATAACCTTCATAGCAGATCGCTTTCATCCTTACACTTCCGACCGACACTTTTGAGACTCTATCCTGTAAGGCATTAGCACTTGCCACACTGAAGGATTTGAACGGTATGGTTGTGTCAGTCAATTTCCTCCACCATCTCTGATCTTGGTCAATTTTCTGGTCACCTTCACAGTCTACTTTTATGCTTTGCAACATGGCGCCACCATTTCCTTGGATTCCCTTTCTTACCTGTCTTGGCATTAACAGTGATGGAAATATTTTGCGCAGTAGCTAGCTCTTTTCCTGCAGCGGCTTGCATTTGGAAACAGATGGCATCCCACATCACTCTGGGTACTTGCATGCATTCATACTCATTTCAACAGCTGCTTTTGCAGCTCTAATGTGTTCCAGACTTAAGCTTTATACATTAGTATGAGTGTCAGCACTATTAAAAATTCAG